CCCCCCCCCCCCCCCCCCCCCCCCCCCCCCCCCAATTTCAAAAAGGTCCCAAGGGTACTTTAACTAAATCTCACTTGACTAGGTTTAGTTAAAGCACCCCTGAAATACCCGGGGGGGGTGGGGGGGAAGGGGGGGGAAGCCTGTGACAGTGAGACAATGCTGGAGCGTTCTAATTAGAACATGGAACAGACTTGATCAATCAGGTTTGTTCCGACATGTTCTAATTACAGTATGAATGAGCATGTCTATAGACAGCCACTGGGTTTATCTTGTGAATCATGTTTGCACGCTTAAGAGGGCTAACATTGCGTGAAACTCTATCACATCCTTGAAAGGATCTCATGGCACCCCAGTTGACAATCACTCTCTTAAAAGTTACAAGCTAAAACCAAACAATGTTAGTAAGAGAATCAGGGTAGTTAACAGAGCAATCCCAACTCCAGAGTGTACTGCTGGATATTTGCTGGCACAGAACTCTGGCATTAGTCGTTATCATGTTTTATGCGCTCTATTTAATAAATAAACAAACAATCTACCAAGTTTAAGTGATGCTTGCTGCTAAAATATTTACCATATATACGGTTTGAATAGTATGATTAACAATTTTAACCAAAATCTTAGTTACCAAAGAGGGGGGGAATCAAAAACTCAAAACTAAGGCATTACCTCATGAAGGATAAGCAATATTCCTTACCCAGAAGAGGATTATCAGAGTGGGTGAGTAGCTTAAAGGAGTGAAAGACCAAGGTGGTTGAAAGAGTGGAGATAGTATATTTGATGGTGTTCCTTCCACACTCCAAATAATGGTCTTAAGAAGATTAGGAGCTGAGATGGCTCCTGTATTTTGAGGACAAATTTGTGACCTGCCCTGTTATCAAGCAAAGTAATATACTGCACATCCAATAAACAAAATACATGTCTTCAGTCAATACCTGCCAACTTAAGTTACTGTGTCGAGGAGGAGCTTCATCAAGACCAATTGTGTTCAGTTCTTCAAAGCTGAAGTTGAGAGCATAGGGAGCTTGACCAGAAAGACCTGTAAGCTCAGTGTGAGGCAATTCACTGTTATGCCCTGAACGACGAGCAAGCTCATTATGAGGAATCACATTGGTAACATGTTCACTTGCTCCACGAGAATCTTCATGAATAGCCTGATTTTCCGAATTTCTCATTTCCAGTACCTTAAAATGTAAAAGATCAGTACAGCCATCAGTACAGCAAGATAACAGTGGCAGCACTTACTCAAATACGCTCATACACCCACCCACCAGGGAAAAGTAGCTTGCAATTTTTAAGCCACATATGTGCCCAGGGTTGTGAATAAGGCAAAGGGCTACTTGAGAAAGATCTGTTTATGGAACAACTGCACTTGTCTCTACTGAAAAAATCATTCTTAATATTAATTACTATACCCTTTACCATACCGCTAACTTTCATTTATCAATTCCTCTAATGGAAAGTACTAGTTACAAGTTTTGGAATAAACCCCCCCCTACCACATTTAACCACTTTAAACAAATTGAACGTAGAGAATCATAAAATACACAGACATTACTGCAGAGAACACAACTCCCCTTGATGCTTGTTTCTCCCTCCCCTTGATAATACATATTTATCAAGCTACAGGAAAAGATATTTGTGTTTTACATGCACGGATTAATGGTAGTATCAGACACAGTGAAATTCAAATGCTTACAATGCTCAATAGTTTGCTTACTTAAAAAAAAAGGCATGGCAATGAATGGCAAATACTTGTACTATAAATCTGATTTAATTTTAATCATACAAAAAAGAAAAAAAAATAGATGAAGACTTCCAGAAAAAAACAAAGAAACTTCTAAACAAGAATCAGATTCATGGTGTTATGGAAAACCTCAGAAAATGAAAATTTTGTCTTACCATGCTTTTGAAAAGGTGCCAGTCACCAAAATTCATGTTCATCTCCCGTTTTAGTTCTTCAGTGTTACACTGAGCCAAGACACGACCATTTATGTTTGCCTAAATAAAACAAGTAATACTATGTAACAAGTATTTAACCCTTAACAACATTGTAAATATGTCATAACAAAATTAAACACTTTTGAGAAGTCATCAGAAACTCTTATAAGGCTTTTTTTAGTTCTAATATTTAACCTGAAGCATATTTAAGTAATCTTTAAATAGCTTTTTAAATTTTAAATTTATTTTAAATAACAATGGCAAATTCCTGGTCAAATCTAAATTTCATGATCTAGCTAGGTAAAGGAGAGCTGAAGTGGCAACAAACTATCACCACCAAAAGAAAACTCATGTCACTTCAAAGAACTAGTAAAGTCTGTTCTTGAATATCCAAGGAACAAAACAAAAACAAAAAATATGCCTGAGGGAATTTTTAAAAATCAAATCTTATCCAACTTTGAGATCTGGAGCAGTTCTGGAACTGCTCACCAAACAGGCTGCTGACAGACGAAGGAAAAAAAATATGGCACTTTATTTTCAGCTTGGTGTGTCCCTGTGCCTAGTGCAACATGTGCCCAGAAAAGAAGCTGCATCAATTTGACACAGGTCACCTAAATCTGTATAGATCACACACTTCAGCAGGGCTTTTTGGTGCATACATCTAATAGCTGATTTATCTAATAGCTGATACAGACATTGAGCCACGTCAAATTAACACAACCCCTCTTCCAGTAAAGCGTCATTTTTCCCCCATGTCTATCAGCGGCCACAAAGATCTTCTCTATATATAGATGTTTGAATGGAGTGGGCAACCCAGAGTTGGGCAGTGGGAGTGGGCAGTATCAGAAAAAAAAAGATGCAACATGAGGTGAAAATGTAGGGCTGATAAAGAACAGGTAGTAAGAGAATAGGCGGAGCACAAGAAAGAAAAAAAGAAAATTGAATTTATAAATACTACTGTAACTACAGAACAGAATTGAACATGTTATAGACTGTAAAACTAATCCAGAAAGAACAAATTACATACCTCTGAGTAAATAATGTGCCTCCTATTTGGATAAAAAGGCATTTTATCCTTTAAAAAAAATTCTTTATAGGTATGTAGGGACATGACTTGCAGGACTTAGAAATTTTTGATTTTTCTATGTCAGAACAGAGCTGGCCTCAGCTTCACAACAATGGGCAAATGACAGATTTCATCATAACTATTTGCAGGTGTTACGATGAAACACAGAGGAGTGGGCTGTGGAAGGAAGAAAACCGGGATCTTTTTCTATTTATCTGCAAAAATCCTCATTTCTATTTTTCCCCACACAGCACTTCTCTACAATGACTAAAAAAACCCAAAAAAACCCAGTAATCACCCTATCTGGGGACAAAGAACACCTTTTGAGATTGAGCTTCTATCATGTACTCTAACTCACACACATGGCAGTTTAAGAAGTTAATTTTCCTAAATTAGTACTCTCCCCAAGGACATGTCATCACTGTTGTCAATCCCACACACTTGAGGATGATCACTCCCATGGGTCAAGTAAAGGGTTGAAGATAAGTCCGGTGATGGCTATTCGTATATTTCAGGATGCAAAGAACATTTTTGTGTTTTGACCCCAATTTGAGGGATCCCCCTGGAAGCTGCTATCCAGTCAGGAAAGGTAAAGTGGGACATGCTTGGGGCACCTTTTCTAGCCCCTCCACATGTGTGATGAGCAGAGAGGACTGCTCAGTCACAACTGCAGCTGCCAAATCACCCACCCTCCTATCCCATACACTGAGGGTGAAACAACCATCTTACGACCACAGCCTGTGTATGGATCCATGACTAGGGACTCCCTGAAATTACTTTGTCTATCCCTGTCACCACCCGTCCATCACTGCATGACTTTGTAGACTTTGGGTATTGGTATTGCTTTTGTAGTAGATGCTGGAAAAGCAGAAGCCTGTGCTTGTTTTTCGTGAGGAGACGGTTGTGCATCGGCAGCTGCATGAATCTTGGAGGAGGAGAAACCCATGTCCAGTGGCAAGGAGATCCAAGACAACTGGGGTTATTCTTCCACTGCAGCCTTCATCCACCTTTGCATCCTTTGAGAAGTATGCCTTCAGCATCCGCCTGCTCCACCATTGAGGTCTTTGTGTTTTGTCAGATTATTCTTCATCTGATACTTCGCCTTTGACCTTACCACCATGGTTGACCCTACCAGGAATACAAGATTCCCAACACTGTTGCTTTTAGGGTCATTAGTACGTGCAAACCTCTCTACCTCATCAAGGTGGCAGTCCATGGAGAGGAAGGTAGGGCACGTATATACCAGTAGTTAGGCACAGGCTTGCATATGCATGCAACCAAAGACCCACTACATACAAGCTATGAACCTCTAAGCTCATAATGTTTCATAGTTGGTAGGGTTGGAAGGGACCTGAGCAGATCATCAAGTTCAACCCCCTGCCATGGCAGGAAAAAGTACTGGGGTCAAACGACCCCGGCGAGGTGTTCATCTAACCTCCTCTTATAGACACCCAGGGTAGGAGGCAGCACCACTTCGCTTGGAAGTTGGTTCCAGATCCTAGCCGCCCTGACAGCGAAGTAGTGCCTCCTGATGTCTAGTCTGAATCTACCCTCCACCAGCTTGTGACAATTATTTCTAGTTACTTCTGGTAGCGCTCGGGGGAACAGGGACTCCCCCAATGCCTGCTGGTCCCCTCTGACTAGTTTGTAATAGGCCACTAGATCCCCTGTCAGACTTCTCTTGTGGAGGCTGAACAGGTTCAGGTCCCTTAGCCTCTCCTCGTAGGGCCTGCCCTGCTGCCCCTGATCATGTGGGTGGCCCTCCTCTGGACCCTCTCCATGTTGTCCACATCCCTCCTGAAGTGCGGCGCCCAGAACTGGATGCAGTACTCCAACTGCGGCCTGACCAGTGTCGCATTGAGGGGGAGGATCACCTCCTTGGGCCTGCTTGAGATGCATCTGTGGATGCATGACAAGGTGTGGTTGGCCTTCCTGACTGCGTCCCCACACTGTCGGCCCATGTTCATTTTGGCACAAATAATGACTCCAAGTTCCTTTTCTGCCTCTGCACTGACGAGAAGGGAGTTCCCCAGCCTGTAGGTCTGCTGCTGGTTCTTCCTCCCCAGGTGCAGCACCTTGCACTTGTCAGTGTTGAAACCTATCCTGTTCTCATTCGCCCACCCATGTAACCTGTCCAGGTCCAATTGCTGCCAATTCCTCCCTTCTAGTGTACCCATTTCCCCCCACATCTTAGTGTCATCTGAGAATTTGAACAGGGTGCTTTTTACCCCCTCGTCCAAGTCACTGATGAAGATGTTGAACAGTGCGGGTCCGAGGACCGAGCCCTGCAGAACCCCACTGCCCACATCCCTCCAGGTCGAAAATGACCCGTCCACCACCAGTCTCTGGGTACGGCCCTCCAGCCAGTTAGTGACCCATTTGACTGTGTAGGTGTCGACGCCACAGTCCCCTAGTTTTTTAATGAGAATGGGGTGAGAGACAGTGTTGAAGGCCTTCCTAAAGTCCAGAAAGACTACGTCCACTGCTACCCCTGCGTCCAAGGATTTTGTGACCTGGCCATCAGGATGGTCTGACAGGACCTGCCTCTAATGAACCCATGTTGGTTGCCCCTAAGCATAACCTCCCCTGCTGGCCCCTCGCAGCCATGTGCCAGGATACTTCTCTCAAAAAGCTTCCCCAGGATCGAGGTAAGACTGACTGGCCTATAGTTTCCTTGGTCCTCCTTCCTCCCTTTTTTGAAAATGGGGACCACGTTGGCCCTTTTCCAGTCCTCTGGCACCACACCAGAGCACCATGAGTGCTCGTAAAACCGTAAAAACTTCTTCGGACCAGAAGTCCTGCCCCCTGAGCCCTGACTTTTGCCACCGGAAGCCCCACACCCTGACTCCTGCCACCAGAAGTCCCCCCCCTTGCACAACTTACCAGGTAGCAAGGGGTTGTGACCCCTCTAACATCTTGCTCCAGCAGTGGGGTATCAGGGGCATCAGACCTGTCCTGGAACTTTGCCCCTACCTGTGCCAGCTGGTCCCAAAAGAAGGCAGCTCCGCGGCTGCTTCTGCTGGCCAGTGCACGGGACTCCTGGGTCCCATCCCCAGCAGCACAAATGGGACGGACCTGGCCGGGTCTGCATCAACCAGGAAAGGTGGCATGCAGCTGAAGTTGGCTCCTCATGTGCTGCTGGGGATGGGAGCCCGGCCGAGG